GCCAGCGGGGCTCAACTACAATAAAAGCACTTATTTTGGCTAAGTTCTAAATCCAGCCATCCGGCTGGGTTGTCTTTCAAATGCTAGGAGACTATCTGCCTAACTAGTGAGTGGTTATGTGGACGCAGACAGTTACTATTATGGGACGTTTCTTACGAGCCCTCTCTGAGGCTGATCCTATCGCTCTGATAACGCAGTGTCACTTTCTCTGCTTAGGGTCGGACCGCCTTTTTTTACACTTAAAACACTGTCACAGTCACTCCTTATCATGGCATCACACGGCGCCTCTTCTCGACCATGCTAGGACGTTGCTGCTGAATGGCCTATTCAATTGTGCCGGAGAATTGCGAGGTGGGCGGAGTACTCCCAGTGGGACTCAACTACAGCTAAAGCCCTTATTTCCGAAGGTCGTAGAAGAGCTCAACTCTTTTTATGATCTGGAGAAAGAAGCGATCTGCTTCAGATATTTGTAATAGCTAGAGTCTACATCGTTAGTACAGGTTGTTAGCAGGCCATAGTCTGTAATTCCAGCCAGCTTGCAGAAAGGGTAAGAACTTGGAGATTGTTGATGCATTCACTTATGCTAACTCTGAATGTCTAAAAAGCTGATGGAGACACTAGAAATGAGACTGGTTCTTATACCCTTAGGCGTTTATTTGGCTGGCCGCATTTTGTTTAGGTCAGATTTTATGTAAAGTAGTTTCGGCAAAAACTAGCCGCCCCTGATGTAACATTAAGCCGCCCCTTCTTCAAGTACGAGTGGATTTATCGTCAGAATTTGGAATATCGGCTATCAAATGAAGTTAGATTCCGGAGAAAAGCTGTATTGCGAATGCCTATCACACTATGGAGATAGTCAATCCGGTGCTTCATAGAGCAAATGTCTTAGAGATCAGTAATTTCGATTTTATATGCACCTACGGTAAGTTTTCGAGAATTTTGTCATTATCTTTTTGGATGTTTTTTTATCGATCGTACCCTTGGCCCCCAGACCTATTTTATAATCCGTAAGTCCGATCTGAGTTTTAAGCAGAGGGGGAATTCCATGTGGAATGGAAATTAAAATTAAACAAATTTCGAACTCGGATAGATTCCCCCATGTGCTGGCTTTAGGATGATCTTTCAAAATGGGCTTTCCTTTATGCCAAATCTATTCAAGGAAACTTCGAGCACTTCATTTTAGAGATGGCAACTTCATTTCCAGACATAAAAACGTCAGTCCTCGTTCGAATTAGAAAGACAAACATAGTCCATCGAAGAAACAGCGTTAAACTGGCGGAATGGCGATTTTACATTAGTCATCCGCTCTGAGTTCAGGTGGTTTTGTCGTAGCATCTGTGGGTAGGTACATTTCCGTGCTCCGAGGTGTACTCCAGCTTTAACGCTACTAATGCAGTAAAAAAATCGTTTTTTACTCTTAATGTTTACATTTATCCCTTTCTTGTAATAAAGGAGGCTTGGGCAGATTTGGATAATTCATGTGACCCACTTATGAAAATTTTGGCAGCATCGGTTGGCTTCGAACCCACGGCAGCAAGGGAGAAGTTTCAGTACAGTTAGCACTCTCGTCGCCTGAGATATTCAACTGTACCAAAACCTTGGTAGTGCCCTGGTGAATTCTGTGTTTATTGTCTAGGAAATTCTGCTTGACAGCCAGTGTATTCTATCAGAATTGGTGTATTCAATACTTTGCAGTAGGCTGGGTACGTAAAATGATCCGGTTGTGAATAAACTCATGGCTCCTGGTTGGGTCTCATAACTCAGGTGACTAGAGCGTTCACTGTACCACAGTCCCCCCTTGCTATCGTGGGTTCGAATTCCGCCGAGGTTGCCGAGTTTCTGACAGTTAAGTCAAGCTAATTTTTCATAGTATATGCGGTTGTCTTTTAATGTGCCTTTAAGTCTGCTTATAAATGCAAAGGCTTTTAACCTCTTCGGAGTATCTCAGCAAAGTGGCGGTTTCCATTGCCTTAGTCAACGTTCTGCTTATATTTTCATCCAATTAGAGTCAGTAAAACTATATAAGAACAGCCCATACTGTTTGTTACCACTGATTCTGTCTTATAAAAGTAACGCTTTCTCTGGGTCTTGTACAATTCTTCTTGGATTACGGAGGTTTTAGTCCCTGCTCGAAAGAATGGAAGGGCTTTTGGTTGTGCTCGAGCTAATACCTGGTTCGAATGGATGCCTGCTTACTTTGTCAGTTAGTGGAAAAGGCTAGAAACCGTATCTACCCTTGTTCAGCTTGGTAAGCTTCTCGTGCTCCTAGCAAAATGAATTCGAACACAGAGCTTGGCATTATTACACCAGTTCCACGGTTAGGGATCTCTGAAGCAGCACAGTGACACTCATCACCGGCTTCTACGAGGAAGGGTAGGGAGTAAAACTAAATGATCAAACAATTTTTTCTCAGCGAAGTTAACAGGTCTAAGTACCGGAAGCGTCGCCATTATCTAGTCAAATAATTAAAACTGTCCAAGTCCACTTTGATTCTGGAGTTGTATATACCGACGCTCATTTGCTCTGACTGGCCTTAGCTGAGCTCTTGACTTCTGACTTCGTAATTCAAAAAAGAGTATCCTGGAGTTCTGAAGATTTGTTAAAGTTTGTTTTCGTCAATAATTCAATGGAAAGTGACCTTTGGTGTCCACAGCTCTATCTTGGAAAGTTTCTTGGCAAAATTACTCAAGGAAAGGGGGAAGCTCCCAAACTTAAGTAAATAACAGATCAGAAATACACCGAATGTCTTGTGAGAGCCAACCTGAGGACATCCATTATTAAGAAGAAGAGCATCTTTGACCATGCGCAAGAGCCTGAAAAGAAGAAAATAAAAGAAAGGAAAGTTGAAATTTACCTAAAAAACTCTTCCGCTTGCTCGTAACACAAGATGGTCGCAAGATGTCCAATTTACTGATCTTATCAGGGAGTTGAAACAGACGTTATGGGAAATTTCTGGTCCAAAAAACGACAAAGCATGCAATCGACAGAAAATTTAAGCAAATTCAATTTGGAATTTTAAATATACAAGAAAACTTGCTTTCCTCCAGTTCCCTGCATTTCCCAACTCCAGCTTTCCTATCCAGATCTTTGAGTATGTCTTTTTGAGCTCATTTCTTTTTCCTGACCGAAATTTCTTTCTTCCTAATGGTCGATACCCTTAGCTTGGCTAACATAAGGCCTTGTGTTTATAATTCGTCTCTTGCTTATTACAACTTCATTGTTTTACGAAAAGTTTTAAGACAGTAAAGGTCATGTTCTTCTTAAGTAGGGTCGAAGAAGACTTTAAAAAATTCCCTGGATCCCGAGGCTTTCCTCATTTAGACAACCTATGCGCTGACTTGAGATATAATCGGGTTGTGGAACAGAAAACAGCCCCCAAAGGTCAACTCTGGTCTACGGAATGGGTGACATTACAGAATATAATAAGCTTTGGCAGAACGGCCAATGAAAGTTGACGTATTTGGTAAATTCTTGCGGACTGGTGAATACATATCTTCTTTATCTGGCAGTAGGCTTCGCGTACCACCTCACTAGCATCATCTTATCAGTCGATAATTTAGAAAGCAAGGAGGTGAAATGAAAAATTCCAACCCGCGAAGTCTCCTTATTGACTACTGACATTGTAAACATTCGTGGTTTCTCGAGCGTTTTGTTTTAATCAAAGAAACATTAAATTTTCATCTTTCTAAGCCTGAATATTTAAGCAATTCTGCCTGCGCGAACCGCAGTTGTCCAATGGAAATTGAAGATTTCGCTCGAAATAAAAATTAAGTTTATATGTATCCCGTCAAAATGAGCAAAATTTGTGGATATAATATGCCAAATCCCCTTTGTTACCTTCCAAGTCTGTTCACTTTTGGAGCGAAAATGAGGACGACGGAAGCTTTACTGTGATTTTGTACCCCTAAGGCATCAGAAACCACCAGACTGACTTATCCCTACTGCAGAACGAAGTGGGTGGTCGCGTAGCGCATCATAACTGAAACTAGGAACTGCATCTGCCTCGCAACCAGGACTGATTGGTATACGCCAGTCTGCTGCGACTAAATACCTTTTGATTGCGGCTGGCCAGTAGGTTGCGAGTACTGCTCATAGGTCGAATACGTGGAGTGAAAATTACTGTTACTTGCGATCACCATCTCGCTCCCACGCCTGGTGACAGTTGTTCACTCCGTGCAAGCGACAGTAATCCTAATTGCTCCCCGGCTTCTCTTCCCCCTCCCAGTGCAATAACCTCTACTTGTCGATCCTGTCATTCGGGCGACGTGAAAAGGATGAATTATGATCATATTAGCCCCGTCTAACTGTTCTATCTTCACAATGCATGTAATTGTACCGGCCTAATTGCCGAATTTTCAAGTTTCTCATTGAATTCTATTCGACACACGAGGTTTATCCGAAGCCTCTGTCATCAGTGACCTCTGTCACCTCTCCCCACGGTCCTTCAGTCTACCCGGTGTAGTTATGGTGTCTGTGCGGCAGGTTACGTATGCTTCTCAAAGTAAAAGTCCAACGCCAATCTCACTTCTCTTGTAGACGACGTCTTTTTCGCCGACTGAATGGAACCAGTTTATGCAGTTCTTCTACGGCACAGCCAAGTACGTTTTTTACAGCTTCACACCTTTTATTATCCCCCGATTCTACAGCTAACATCTGAGGTTGTGGTTTTGAGCGTGGAAAAGGGGTAGTTCAGATGAAGTCAAAGTTATGAGCATATTTACTAAAGTCAAAGCTAATAAACACGGATGAAGTAAGGCGTAACGGAATTCAAAGCATAAAATTTTGTGACTCTTTGTTCGTCTGGACAAACTCAATGGACCAGGACGTGATCCGGAAAACTAAGTATATTTAACTTACATGAATCCAGATTCATTACTCGATATTT